ATTGAAATTGGTGGATACGGGGAGCTTTGGAGGCATAATGGGGTAGGGAAAGTGGAGAAGAGTAGGGGAATTTGTTGGAGTTGGTGCTGACACACTAGGGCATACAGATAGTGGAGGATTTTCTTTCTTTGGACTTGGGGAGCACCGATGTGATCCTAGGGATAAAGTGGTTACAACGATCAGGAAGACGAAGGTGGAATGAATTTGACTATGGAGATTCAGTTGGAAGGGAAGAGGATGGTGCTGCGAGGAGATGCCAGCATTTGCAGAATCATGGTTTCACTAAAAAAACCTTGGTCAAGGTGATACAGGGGGCAAGTCTGGACCGCTTGGTGGAGTTGCAAAGTTGGAGGAGGTTTGAGATTCAAATTCGATCAAGGTCCTTAAGTGTGTACAATAGCTTTTGGAGCAATTTCTTGAGATTTTTAGCAGCCTAGTAGATTACCACCACCTAGGGAGCACGAGCACACAATTACCTTGAAGGAGGGAGTTTCTCCTATCAGTGTTTGATCGTACTGGTATCCACAGATTTAGAATGATGAAATAGAGAGGCTTATTAGAGAGATGCTTACGATAGGGATTATTAGACCCAATATGAGCCTTTTTCTAGCCTAGTTCTATTGGTGAAAAAGGATAACTATTGGAGATTTTGTGTGGATTATAGGGCCTTAAATAAAGAAATTGTGCTTGATAATTATCATGGTTACTTGTTAAAGGGGCCCCAGTTACTACATCAGGGGCGATTTGTCTTAACAAGGACATCGGGGTACATTCCGAAGCTGTTGTAGGAGTTTCATGACAATGTAGTTGGAGGACACTTAGGAGTTCAGAAAACCTTCAATCGGCTATCCGTGGAGTTATACTGGGTAGGATGCACCGAGATGTAGAGGATTGGGTGGCGAGATGTGACGTGTGCCAGCAACACAAGTACTTAGCCATGACACTAGGAATATTCCTACAGCTTTTAGCTCCGTCAAAGAGGGTATGGGAGGAGGTAACGATGGACTTGATCAAGGGATTACCACGTTCGAAGGGATTTTGAGTGATAGTGGTAGTAGTGGATCTCTTAAGCCTGTATGCACACTTCATCTCTCTGAAGCACTCGTACATCGCGGCTTACATGGATTTCCAGAATTCATTGTGTCAAATAGAGACAATGTGTTCCTCAGGCATTTTTGGAAGGAGTTGTTCCGTTTACATGGGACAATCTTGAAGAGAAGCATGCCATACCATCCCCAAACAGATGACCAAACGAAGGTGGTCAACAGAAGCATGGAGACCTATTTGTGATGCTTTGTATTGGATACGCCGAAGAAAAAGTGGATCGCTTGGGATGAGTATTGGTACAACACTTTGTATCATTCAACAACACGAACCATCCTTTCAAGATTCTCTATGGGAGAGATCTACCTCATTTAATACATTATCTACATAGCACTACACTAGTATCCAGTGTTGATCAATATTTAGAGGAGAGGGATAGGATGTTAGCAGAGCTCAAGGGACATCTGTTGAGGGCCCAACATATCATGAAGAGGAAGGTTGATGAGCATAGAAAGGAAGTACGCTTCGAGCTAGGAGACATGGTTTGCTTGAACCTGAGACCCTACCTCTAGAAGACACTAGTTAGGAGGAATGATAAATTGTCCCCATGATACTTTGGGCCTTATGAAGGGGTATTGATACGCTTGAAATAGCCTAGCCGAGCCCTGGTCAAATCCGCCATATGGCTAGGCAGAATAAGGGGTAACATGAAGGAGAAGTTCAACCCCCCTTGTGGGGCCTAGGGGAGTTATTATTCATTATGTAAGGAGGAGAAATAAAGGGGGAGCTATTTAGGAAGATTTCCTCATTTGGTCATGCTGTTTATGAATGTTTTAATTATTTAGGAAGGTTTTCTAATTGTATTTTTGTTGTTTAGGAAGATTTTAATTATTTTGGAAGGTTTTTTTAATTGTGTGTATGCTATTTAGGATGGTCTAAATTGTTTAGGAAGGTTTCCATATTCTGTTTAGGTTTTTTAGGAAGGTTCCAATTGTGTTTATTATGTGTGAGGGCTATTTAAGGGCGAGTTTTATCTTGGGTTATCATGAGATATGTGCTGAGTTTATTTTCTAGGGTTTGATGTGAGTTTTCTAGTGGCGGCTAGGATTTGTGGGACAGCCGATCTACCTCTCGAATAGTAGGTCAATTGTATTTTTCATTATTGTTGAAGAAGTAATAAAACATCAGCCCCCATATTTGTATTCATGCATTTTTCTTCTATCTATTTTGCTGTTTTTACTTCCAAAACGCATCCGAAATCCATGGTGTAAATTAAGGAAGATATTTATAGAATTGTTTGGTTGTATCTCTTGTGATGAGGTTAACAATATTTCTTATATTTCCTTTTTGTAAACAAGAGATTTTTTATTTACGAATTTGAATTCAGCGACAAGCTTAATATGTCAATGCTTGCTATGCCTTTTATCACACAGAATGGGCAAAGTATGTGGACGAGTAGATGTGTCATTCACTGCTTAAAAAGTGAGTAGTTGCACATGTCTTCTTTAATGCTAGATATGTGGGGAAGTGTTTGGGGATGTGGAATTGGGTTGGTTATGCCTGTTGATATCTCATATGGTTGTCTGGTTGTGACTGAGTCAAGCATCGATGTTGTAGAGTCATGAAGATTCTTTGGACTGAGTGAATTATGGTTTGTGTTATTAATTGGGTTTGAAATGATTGGTTCTACATTTGCATCCCATTCTATTGAATAAAATTAACTTATGATGAGATCTTAGTACTTATATTCCCATGTTTATGGTCTTGATTACATCTTGGAGGTGAGTGGATTTGCAACCCACAGAATTGCTTAGTTACATTCGCCACTAAAGGATCCATATCAGATACCTCCTACATTTTTCTTGTGAACCTCAAAATATAGCCTTAGAGAGCTTCGTTCTTGATGCCCTCTGGACAAAGAAGGTTCTGACAACTTTTTTGTGGTATTGTAAGGTAGGGTGATAAGCTACTTGTAAAACTTTATGAAAAAATATTCTTGTGGTATGGCTTGGAAAGGCTGTATGCTTTTAGGTGGTCAACAAAATTCAGTATTTGATCATATCAAACATTGTGTGTAGGATTATCTTGTCCTTAAATTTGACTAGGTGCTCAAAATTGGTATGTCAACCCTCTGCATGAATCCAACTGTATAACTTTTAACATTGGGGAAACAGCTTGTTGGGTATTTTAGCAACGAATATTGATGTGGCAGGCTGTGCAACAATTGGATAGGAACGCCTTTATTGTGCAACAATTTGCATCCTTTTTTGATGGATGTTTTGACACTATCATGGTCATTTCATCGATTACCTTTTACTGACAAGGAGCTGAGATTTTTTGCGGATATTTATTTCACCTCTATTCTTCCTATGGACAACTTTGAAACTTAGGTCTTGTGTTTTGAATATGATGCACCAATACATCTATTTATGGAGGTATGCAGTATTAAACACGTGTCGGACACAGACACGCACCCGATGAAGCTTGGGCACGTGTCAGACATGGTAAAAATGTGTCCAATTAAAATAATGATTATCTAATTCTATTTTATATTATTATTATTTGAAGATATTCAACTAAAGAATGGCTTCAACAGAATCCTCAACGAGTTTCTCATAGAAAGATTTAGAAATTTCATATGTGAGGAAGACATACTTGAAGCATTATTTTTCAAATGAGTATAAGAGAAGCATGATCAATATAGAACTTGCTAAGTTTTTTGGTTATTTAGAAGACTTTGGTGATCCAGAGTCTTTGCATGATAGGTGTAAAATGTATCCAAAGATGTGGTGGTTGATTCATGGAGCTTCAACATCTTTATTTCAAGCAATCACCATAAAACTTCTTGGTCATGTTTCGTCCTTCTTATATTGTGAGAGAAATTGGAGAGCATACTCCTTACAATAAATAAAGTGGAACAAAATTATTCCACAACAGGATGAAAATTTAGTTTATGTGCATACAAATATTCAACTTCTATCAAGAAAGACCCCAATTTATATGGAAGGAGATACCAAGATGTGGGATGTTGTTGGAGATTGATTTTTTTGGGTCCCTTGATGATATGAGAATATTGGAGATTGCTAATCTTTCACTTAATTGGCCCGAATTGGAAGCAATGATATTTATTCAAGATGATATTGAAGTCAAAAGATAAATCCCTGAAGAAGCTAATCCTATCATTCCTTCTGCTGAATAGTTGAAACTTCATGTACTAGACAATTTATGTTTATATTTTTTTATGTTATATTAGACATCTCATGCTTACTTTTATTTTGATATTATAAGCTATAGGACTAATTATGATGTTTCTTTAATTTTTTTTGTCATTTTAAATATTATGCTTTGATTGCTTTCTTAATTTGAATGCATGATTTATAAATTATAATGTCGTGTCCGTGCTGTACCCGTGTCCTGTACTTTTAATAGTTGACGTGTCCCATATCCGTATCATTTCGTAGCGGTACCGACGTGTCTTCATTGGTGCAACATATGTTTTTGTCGATATTCTTATATTAAATAACCCTATATCAGTGAAGAGGGCTGAGATCTTGTACTCATATACTTTACTAAACTTAGAGGGATAGCATTTGGTGGGATCCGTGGTTTTTCATTATAGATTTTCTGAATCTCTTTTCTTCTGTTTGGTTTTGGATTTTCTCAGAGTCCATAGTATGTTTCTGAACTATTGAAAGTGTAAGATTTTGTATGGAAATCACTTTGTAGTCCTCACCACTTAAGAGCCTTGTGTCGTTATTTTGGTATGTTGTATCTTATCATATTCATATTTTTCTACTTCAATACTTATAAGTATGTATTTTTTTTTTCATACTTCATCTTGCTAAAGTTTATTTCCTTGAATTACATTGCCTGTAGTTATGATAAATCCCTATGCTACTTTCTAGCTTACAAGTTTTAAGCATTTTTGTCAGCTAACTTTGTTGTTTCTTCCTCAGGAAATTGGAGCACATTGTTCTGGTTCATTATCGCCAAACTTTGGAGGTTTATCTTTGTGTTCTTTTTGCAATTTATGACGAATTGATTCAACAATTATTTAATGCATTTGCAAGTTATATTTAGAATTCTTTTTGTATGTTGTGCTTCAATGTCAAGCATGAGCTTATGGCTAAAGGATGAATTTATATTTCCTTTCTATTGCTTTGGAACCTTTAGGACAAGAAAAGTTGATGTTCTGAATTGGTTTTTTAATTTCTACATATCACTGAAATTGTATGGAAATATCTTATAAATGTGGTTTCTATTGTGGTGTGTTTCACAGGTCTAAAAAAAGGTGACGCTTATTGGATAGAGTGATATGCTAGTACATCATATGGTGGAAGATCCAATAATATATGAAGATTCACAGATGAGTGGTTTTACTCTTAGAGATAGGATATGAAACGAGCATACACGTGAAAGGCAGGGCAACTCCAGTGGAAGATAAGATTAGAGAAAGTTGCCATAGATGGTTTGGTTACATAAAGTAGATGTATTAGATTTGAGCTATGTTAAGAGAGATAGAGGTAGATCTAGGAAAACTTGGTTAGAAAATATAAGAAATGACCTTTCTTTATTATATTTAAATGATAATTTGACTCTCAAAAGGACACAATGGAGAAAAAATATTCATGTAGTTGACCCCACGTAGTGGGATAAGGATTTGATGTTGTTGTTGTAACATACATATAAATATTTAATATAAATGTATATGAAAAATTCTATTCTCTTAAATAATTTTATTCTTTTAATATTTCATTTATGACAGGACCATCGTCTAATTTTTTGTACCAAGTACAATTTTTTTTGTTTTCTTTTCTATTTAATGTGCATTAGTATGTTGCCTCTCCAACCAGTACCATAAGAGAGTGAAATCCTATATTTGCATCCATATACCTGTTAAAATTTAAATTCATGAAGATAAATGGGCAAACAATATGATTTCTAAAGTCAGCTCATGCCTTGAATAGAAAAAAAAATAAAAAAAATCATCATAGCACCCACCTATGGCTATGTTGAGCTCAAGACAACATCAAACTACTTGAAGATGACATTTTTAGCCTGTTAATCAACATGTCCCATTCAAAGCAAATGATAAGCAAAACAAGAATTGAATAGAGGCAAGAACAAACTATCTGTCAATAATAATCCCATCTAGATGAAGTTCCTCCTCAGGGTTTTGAAATCTATGTTAATTGCAACAAATTTGGCTACTCCATAACCAAACAATGTGCTAGGCGAGATGAAGTAATAATATGAGTTCCTTGATAATGGAAAGCTGGAAAATGCAATGAATGCTTCCTCAATTTAAATATAGCCAACAAATATCAAATTAGCTCAAGAAATAAATTCTTAATGCTCAAATCTTATTAAGCCTCTCAAATACTCATAAGAGAAAAGTCATCGAGTTTGTATTGTTCATTTCCAGCAAATGCATACAATACTCATCTTCATGAATAATAACAATTTGAAATAATAATTCGCTAATAGCTGCAAGGGGATTCATTTGATATTTACAAAGGATGAATTCAATGATCCAATGATAATTTTTGACTTATCAATACGTGCTGGAATAAATATATGCATATATATAACGAAAATATGCATAATGTATACTAACTACAGCACGTCGGCAAAGCCACAACCCATGTTGCCCACGTCATTACATCGTTGTTGAAATGACTGTCATGCTGTATGTATAACAGTGTAAAAGAGAACAAACATAATTTTTTCACGCTCACATTCATATTCATTCGAAATTCTAATTTTCTGGTTCTTCTTTCGCGATTCTATGCTTCTCGTTCGTCTCTAATCTGAAGCCGATTGCAAGAAACACGATATGTTTATGGTCCTCCTGTGTGAGAAATCCTGCTCGATTCCAAACCCACGTTCGCAAGCAAAGCCCATCCATTGATCTCCTCACATATTCGATCGTCCTGAGCGAACACCTCCCAATCTGTGAATAGCCTGCACCGTTCGCCTCCTCTATAAGTTTGAATCCATCAAATCCGTTGCTCCTGTTCGGCTTCACTCATGCGAACAATCAGCACCCGAAGTCCGCCCTTCCTCCTTGCTCAAATAGGTCATACATCAAAGCCCTTCATCCGTCCATCTCAGACACCAATTCCTCCTTATGCGTCGGAGCTCACTCGATTCATGCGAACAGAGATTGAGTCGGCCCTTCCAGTTTGTTCCACATGCCCGAGATCTTCTCAATTTGAAACAGTGAGAGGAATTTTATGTAACTAAAACCCAAAACAGAAAGAAATGCTCCAAAAATCGTATTTAAAGCTAGTTCCTAGCAAGCTCCAAACCACTCGTAAGCTTTAAGTCCTAGTAAAGACTGCAACTGCAAGCTTTAGTCCCTACAACTTCAACCACCTATGAACTCTCTGAGCTGCTGCAAGTACAATATACCTGCAAGCAAAAAAATAAAATATTAATACAATATATCAAATATAACTTGTAATGTAAAGCTACTAATAAACAAGACAGAACATAGTGCTAGAAAGAAGGTAAAAAACAAATAACATTGCTAAAGTATAGTGACAAACTACTGTTGTAGAAAAAGCTACGAGCATAAAACAACAAGAACACAAAGCTAGAGTACAAAACAACTGATGGATAATAAGTGTCAAAAAACAATGACCGTAGACTATTATTGAAGCAAAGCCGGCAAAATAAGACATTGATGCTGGTGTCAAAACCGTGAAGTGTGTAAAACTAAATCCAATGGTTACATCAAACTATTATTGAAGCAAAGCTTGCTTACATCAATATGGGCCACTGATGTAGGACATGCATGAATATTTGATTTAGATAAGGAATTTGCACGCTTAATGAGTAAGAGCAAGTTAACTGACCGTACTTACGAACTATTTCATATTGTACAAACATTAATTAAAATTACCTAATCTAATCCAGAGAATTAAGGAATTGAATCAGGATCATATCTTCGTTAATGATTGTATTATACGATCAAGATCTTGCTGTATGATCAATCGAGAGCTTGCTAGATAAACCTTGGTTCGTCCATGACGATTTGTTATTCGATTGAACTTTTCATGCTATATTATTATTCTTCGTGCAATACGATTAGAGATGGAATTAATATAATCGTATTGCACTACTATTCATCGTACAATATTATTTCAAAATGGGAAATGAATAAATCGTACTGTACGATATGTGAATTGTATTGTTTGATTAGAGACTTAAATTTAAAAATTAGAGTTTTTAAAGATCCCGCCCCTTTTATAAACTCATCAGTTGTCCTGATGGAGAGAGAGCTTAGGCAATTAGAGATGTTTTCTTCTTGGGAGAGAGCTTGAAGTGTGTCCACTTCACAAGGTAGGTGAAAGGATGGATTGACATCTCTGTCGGGCTGGGAGGCGAAAGGAGGGATCGATATCTCCGTTGGGCTGGAAGGTGAAAGGAGGTATCCACATCTCTGTCAAGCTGGGAGGCAAAAGGAGGGATTATCATCTCTGTCGGAGCAAGAAGCTAAAGGAGAGATGACATCTCCATCGGGCTTGGAGGCGAAAGGAGGGATCAACATCTCTGCCAAGTCGGGAGGCAAAATGATGTAAAACGTACATGCAAGGATGAGTAAATTAAGGAGTTTGCACGCTTAATATTTAGAGCACAATAATTAAATCTTTAAAGTGATTTCAAACAACTAAGTAAAACCAAAGAGCGGTAAAATAAGCTTAGGCCAAATCACACGCATAGGAGTTAAAATCATAAAATAGTCAATTTAATCTAACGTTGCATGCATGATTGGTTTTCAACCATAAATCCCTATGCTAACAATAAGATTAGTCTCTATAAGAAGATCCCTCACTCAACTCTTCTAATTACTAGGCTTTAGTGGGGAAGCATTAACGTGATTGTCATGAGTCTACTAAGACCACAATTGAGAAGTAACTTCGAAGATAAAAGAGTTGGGGGAAGAGTTTACCCAAGGACAAGAGAGATGTGAGCCCCGATAAAGTCGTTGGAAGGTTGAAATGAAAGGGGACAGCAGCCATGAGCCTTTTGGATGTTGTTAGACAGCAATTTGGAACTCCGGAGTGGCGAGACAACTACAAGGGACTATTTAAATTACTGGACAGCATCTTTAAGCTCTCAGAACAGTCAGGACAGCCACCTACAAGGCTTAGAGAAACCTTGGACAGCTGCTGTGGACGTTTGGGGTTTTCTGGACAGCAATTTGCTGATTGACGGAACTCTGGGCAGCAAGGAATGTCTCTTGGGAATGCAGGACAGCAAGGTCGACCTGCTGTAATCTTTGGACAGCAGTTAGGGACTCTCCAACGGGGAGAAATATTGAGGAAGAGGTTTCTCAAGTGGCGGCTAAGGCTTCTAACGGATTCTATTAAACCTGAAAATAGATTCTAGATTTAATTAAGAGTGGGCCAGGTTTTGTAATTTGAATTCAAAACATTGGGAGGGAAAGGAAAACTTATTCCTAATTGAGGGATTGATTGAAGTAACTAGGGGGGAGGGGATTTAATGTGGTGAGAGAGAGAATAAGGGAGAGAGGGGGGACCGGCCATATGAAGAGGTAAATAATTGTCTAGGTTCAATGTATGTGGGGTCAAGGAGTGATTTTAGGAATTTATTCAAATATGAAATTAAATTCAGATTTGATTAAATTAGATGTTCCCTCATTGGGATGTATTAGGGAGGGAAATATTTGAAATTCAAATATTAAATTGAATGCAAATAAATGCACCTTCCTAATTAAGGGAGGTTATTTTTAGGAAGGTGAGTAAAGAAATATTTGAAATTTGAATTTCAAATTAGGGGCTTGGGAGGTGAGCCGGCTGCTAGGTAGGTGGAGGGGGGAGGCTGTGGGAGGGAGGCCGGCGATCAGGTGGGTGATGGTCGACGGCTTGGGCGGCCCAAGGAAGCCGGCGGCCCAAGGGGAGAGGCTCGGGTTAGGGAAAAGTTGCCAAGAATGACTTTGTGGGGAATGAGGCCGGCGGGTGGGAAGTTAGGGG